AGGATTAAAACATAGTTAAAACTCCAAAGTGGGACTATAAGGTTATTATTTCCAAAATAGGACTCCCAATTACTTTTTTACCCTTCCTATTATTAAACCCAAAATCCAAGCAGCGGAGACCCAAGAGGGCCACACCCGTGAACAAGACACAGCCCATTCACAACCTAGTGGTATCCCGATCTTTCATCACCGCCGCCATAGCCGCCGCCGCTCGTCCGTACCACAACCATAGCCACTGCCGCTCGTCGGTATTGCAGCCATAGCCACCACCAGTCTTCTCTATCTCTGCTGGCCTACGATTTTTCTCAAAACCAAGTAATTTCTCCTTCTCTCTTCTATTCTCTTCTCTCCTCTCCACTTCTCCTCTCCTCTCCTCTTTCTTTTTTCTCTTCCATTTTTGTTGGTCGTGCTCTGGTTTTTTGTCCCATGGATGGGTTTCAAGTAGATCTGATATTGTTTTGATGAAGCACCCATGATTGGAAAAATGATTTACTTGGACTTTAGATCTAATAATGGTTCGATGAAGCACAGACATTTGGACTTGAACTTTTATTAATTTTAAAATTTGATTAATTTTTCGTTTTTAATTTTATTCACCTCAAGATGACATTTGGACTTGAAATGAAAAAATGTCACTTATATATTATTGCATCTATCAAAATGACAAAATTACTTACAAATTGAATTTGTGGAATGCCATTTTGTGACCCATTTTATAAAATAGTGTCATTTTATGCAATTCACTTTGTGAAGATGTACTTAAAATGACGTAATATGTCATTTTATAATTTCATATGAAAATGCTATGTTTAAACTGAAAATAAATATGTCATTTTATAATTGCATATGAAAATGCAAAATGACATGCTTTTGGCCTGTTTGACAAAATAGTGTCATTTTTATGCAGCTCACTTTGTGAAGATGTACTGAAAATGACATGATATGTCATTTTATAATTTCATATGAAAATGCTATGTTTAAACAAAAAATGTCATGTTTTGTCACTATTTTAATCATGCTGTCAATCTTAATGAAAATTGAATTTTTCAACATTATTACTTATTGACATTCTTCATTTTTCTTTTGCTTCTCATATTTCACAGTTTTAATTCTAAAATGTCATTTATGTTTACATAATTATGTCAGAATTCAATATAAAAATCTCATAACATATACTCTAGAGGAGGTAGTTGCAAAAGAGAAGATATCGACACTTCCAGGAGAGAATTTAGCAGCAGCGGCGATCTTGTTGGCGGCAGTGGTGGAGTCCTCATTGGGCAGTGGCGGCGGAGGCCTCCTTGGGCAGTAGCAACATCGGCTTGGCTGTGATGACTAGCAAAAAAGGGACAGGTGGTGTCGGCATAAGAGGTGCATCGATCGCAGATGTAGAGGTTTTTATTTCATTGAGGGCAAATGTGTCTAATCAGTAATAAAGAGTCCTATTTAAGAAAAAATAAACTTAATGTCCTAATTATGCACATCTACTATGTTTTAGTCCTATTTAAGTAAATCTCTCTAGTTTTATTTGATTTGATTTGGTCCGATAACTTAACCTGTTTGAGTGTTGTGTGATACGATTTATTTTAATCATTGTTTACGGATTAGATGAGACATGACTGGATCGGATTTAGATAGTTATAAAATATATAGAGACCAAACATTTACTAGACTATATCAAATCAATTCAGATCAATTAGATTAGATCATCTCAGACCTTACTAGAGATCAAAAAAAATTACTCCAATCAAAAACACATCACCACTCCTTTTTATTCATTTTCTTTCCATAATATTGACAATTAATATATATAGGGAGTATGTAATGGAAAATGTTCCCTGTCGTTTGCCCCTCTGATTTTGGTGTTTGCCCATCGAGATTAAAAAAAATACGGAGTATGTAATTAAATTAAGGGAAAAATAATTAAAATAGACCAAACTTTGAAGGGGTGTGAGATAAGCACACCAAACTTGCATATCTTATTTAAATACCCCAAACTTTATACTCCCTACGGTTTTTAATAAACTTCACACTTTCCTTTTTGGGACGGTCTAAAATAAACTTCACACTTCCTTATTTCCATTTTTGGCAAAGAAATCTACATAAAAACAGTGCCAAACAGTGTCTCAACAGTGCCAAACAGTGTCAAACAGTGCCTCAACAGTGTACTCTACAGTAAAGTCAAATTTCTTTCCTTATTTTGTGTGAAGTCAAACTGTGAAGATTAAAAAAAAACGGAGGTAGCATAAAAAGTTATTTTAGCATCATGGTCATGCATTTTTCATTCAAGAATGTTAATTTCATAATTTAAAATATTTTAGCATTAATGAAGATACAATTAACATTCTAAACTTCTATTAGGAAAAAAATAGTATTACCCCCCCCCCCCCCCCAGGGCTGCACAAGAATAACTCGAACCTGTATAACTTGCCCGACCCAACCCTACCCGACCCTATTTAATCGGGTATTTGATTTTTAAAAATATTCATGGGTTAAATGTATTTGAACCCGCACCTAATGGGTAGGGTTGCAGAATTAAAATCTCAAACTCGATAGTACTCGACCCGGCCGAAGTTCATTTTACTATTATTATGCTACAACGTTTTCTTGGATAATTTCAATTTAAGACCAATATGCTCTATCTAGGACTTTATGATATTAGAATTATAATTAAACATTTATCATTTTGACTAGGTGATTATTATATATTTACGTTTCCTTACTTCCTTTACAAAACGATGTTTTAATACTATTACCTAATGGTTTTGCTTATAAAAGATACGAGTACTTGTATTTGTTTGTGTGTTTTAGAAACAAGTTAATCGAGTTTTAAATTGGTTACATTAATTTCCCACATGAAAGATGCAACCCGAAGTCATTTTTTTCCCAATATCTGACCCTACCTGACCCGTTCATGCATGGTTTACCAACTTATTTTGTGTACCGCAGGTTGGTTAATAGCCAACCAGAACAAATCGGGTAGGCCCAAAAAATATAGCAATCCTGACCCAACCCGCCCGATGTGCAGCCCTTATCCCCCCCATATAATTGCAACGTTTTCGATTTCCTATATTAAATTATGCAATCAACACCATCAATTTGCAATTTTGAAATAAATAATACATGAGTATGGTGTTAACATAACTTTTTATAAAAAGTTTGGGGTATTTACATTTGAAAGTTTGGGGTGTTTTATCTCACTGTTCTTCAAAATTTATTTGGGGTATTTTAATTATATTTCCTTTAAATTAAATAGTATTAAATGTATACATCAAATGAAACTTAATTTATATAATAACATCATTTATATTAATTAATATACTAATCAATATATATATATAAGAGGAACTTTTTAAGAGCATACAAAGCGCCACATAATCCTGCCATGTCATTATATATATTAATTATTTAGTTATTTTTATACCTTCTATTTTAATTAGCTAGATTCTATTTTAATGGCATATTAATATGGAAATAGAAATCCGTATAAATCTACCTTATACGTTTACAAATTGCATATTGCATATTGCATATCAGGATTGATATCACGATTGCATATTGCATATATTATATGTTTACTTTGCAAATAACTGACAAAAGTATATCACGATTGCATATTGCATATATTATATGTTTACAAATTCATACTTTTATTTTTAATAGAATTTTTTTAATTGGATTGATTTCAATTCCAGATTAAATCAAATCAGATCAAACTTTAATAATAATAATAATAATAATAAGTCACATAAAATGCAAAACAAACATCTACCAGACCATATTAATTCTTACCAAATCAAATCCAAAAGTTTAATTCAATTAAAAATGTCCTTATTAATGAGAAAAATATAAGATCTCACAATTAAAATTTTAAAATGTGTATTTCATACCAAGTTGAATGAGAAATACTAGAAAAGTATTTGTTAGATGTTCATAACAATTAAATTATTTTTTCAATGTAACGAAATATATAATGAGTAAAATGTAAAAAAAAACTTCATTTTTTTACATTTACGGTGTGACGAAATAATGAGTAAAATGTAACATATTATTATTAAAAGTTAAAAGTAGGTACTCAGTATTTCACATCAAGTTGAATGAGGAATAGTAGAAGGAAAAAACTTGAGGTGCATAATTAATAAAGTAATTTGGAGAACGTGAGATTATGAATTCTTTAAAATCGGGTTCATAACAATTATATTTACTTGAGATGCTTATGTAGAAGATCAATTTAATTATTTTTCATATAATCTTTTCTTGGCTTCACAAATGGAATATATTTTACATATTTTTTTCATGATTCAGGAGATTTCATCCATTCAGCCCATTCAGCCAAAATTTAATCAATTTCATTAAAATAAGTTAATTCCATTTATTTTTAGTATTATCAAACGAGCTCTATATTAGACTAAGTTTATTTTTCTTTTAAATCACATTACATATGATCCGAAACAAATCAAATTTCAAATGAGCTAAATTACATACTGCCCGTGCATCGCACGGGCTTGAAAGCTAGTATATATATATATATATATATATATATATATATATATATTACGGATTAACTAATAATAATTTATAAAATAAGGATTAATAATAATTTTAAAAATAAGGAATGTCGAATGTGGTGATTTCACAAATAAAAAAAAGTGTAAACTGTATAGCACATGCATACCATGTGATAACACATATTCCGCCCACATTACTTCAATAATAGTAATGAACTAATGATTGTGCTGTGTGATTTTATGATGTTTCTTTCATTGGAAATTTGACATGCTATCGTGTGTGGAAGTTAAAAGTCAATCGTTATATTCGTAACTAATTTATTGTTATGTTAATGCATGTAATGTATTCACAAAATTTTATGAGAGGTGAATATACACTACAATTTAATCAAATATTTCACAAACAGTTGATTTATTTTGTAATTAGATATACTTTAACTTTACAACAACAACAATAACATTCTAAGTCTTATTGCCAAAAGATTTTGGAGTCGGCTAACATCAATCGATTCATGCACAATTTATAAGTTTAGGGCACCACAATACAACATTCATTCCCGTTATGTCATTCTCATTTGATCTCCCGCTTATGACCTTACATTACATTTCAGACAATGTATGTAAGCAAAAGTATTGTAAAGATGAGCAAGAAGTCAAACTACTAATTACATACAATGTACTGCATTATACTCCGTATATAATAATTTTGAAATAATGAAGATAAGCTAAAATTTGAAATAGTTGACCTACTTTTCATTACTGCGGGGAAGAGCATATGCAAACACATGCTATGTTTATTTAATCATTAACCGTTTCAAATTACTTTTAATTAAATATGATAAGATGGAAAATGTGACTGTTTGAAGAGGGAATAGGCGATTAATAAAATACTACGCATATAGTAATATAGATGAGCAAATTACGCCCCAATCTTTGGAGCAAATTGAAGGAGCAAAGCTCCTGCATTGCTAGTGAGCTGCTTAGCCAGGAGTAGCTTGCCCAACACCTTGCCTTTGAGGGACATATCCCCCACCTGATCGAACGCCCTGTCGCACAGATTCTCTTCGTCCAAAGCTGCTTTCATCCACAGTTTCACATCTTCCAAGCTTGAGGACGGTGCCGCCGAACCGCTTCCATTGAGCTGTTGCATCGTCTCGACGGAACTCCGCATCTTGCCCACAGAAGTTTCCAAGTGGGAGAAACAGTTCTGATTAATAATCACACAATTTTTACATTATTAGTTTGTACTTCCTATGATGAAAGTTAACTTGGTTAATTTTTACGCCAGTGGAAGGAGTGTATTATATTTGAAAAGTGAATTAAACCGTGCTACTTCTAATGTTTTACTCCTTATTTTTTAGGTAGATTCTATGGTACCCATAATGTATCATACATTTGTTTACATGGACCAATGGGAATGTACCAGTTGAATTATTTAAATCTAAATTAAAAATGATAAAGTTGTGTGGTCCAATCAAATGAATGGTAGGTACGGTACCCCATTTTTTAGAAAGGTATCGGAGTTGTCACCTCTTTCTTATGGTCAAAGTAGAACACGTGAATAGTGTAAAATTAAACATGCTGCACTTATATAAGAAGGAAGGAAATATTAATTATTAATCACTGAAATCAATTTAATTACCTTAAGTGCAGCCACGACCGTTGCATTGCTCACGCCAAAGAGGGATTTGACGAGATCAAGAACGGGCTCGGTTTGATTGCGGCTGACGTCGATGGCAACCCGAGCCAGAATGCCAAGGTCTTGCTTCACGGTGCTGGCGAAGGGGGAGAGGGATGACTTGCATAAGCTCTGGTAGAGTATGGTGGCATCGCCGCACCTTGTTGAGATGAAGTCTGTCTGAACATCGGTTATGGCGGCGGCGGTGACCGAGAGCTGCCTTAAGTTAAACGAAAGTGTGAAGATAAATATGATCATTAGGGGAAACGCTGCAGATGATGGGGTTTTCATGGTTTAGTGGGATAGATGACTACGCCTAACTGAACTGTATAGTGTCTTCAACGTTCAAACTTACTCAGGATAATTTAAGGTTGAATAATGTTACACTCGTAATGAAGTGTTGGTCGTATTGATATGAGGGAGTTTAAATAGGAAAACTTTCATGATTTCAAATGACTCTTATACCCTCGCCTTATATTTATACTATTCTATCTGTCCCAAATTGAGTTGCAAATTTAATTTTTTTTTTAATAAAGGAGATTCATTTTATTAACTTAATTAGGATATCAATTCCTAATTAAATTTTAATAAGGATTTTGCAACCTCATAGATCGAGATTTTAATGTAGTTTGTCAATATGTAAATTTTAATTATTAAAATAGAATTAATTATCAATACGGAGGATTTAACTTTAACATTGATGGACCAAAATATATTGACTTTGCGAGACTATGTAGCACAGAAACTCTCGGAAAAGAATACGTTTCCCGTTTCGGAAACTCTCGGAAACTCTTTGAAAACTCTTCAAATAAGTCTTTTTTGAGTAAAAGTTGACGTTTACCGTTAACTCGTGATTTTCGCGTTTCCGTGCAACATACTTGCGAAACAATTTGGGACCGAGATCTACGTATTACTCCCTGCGTCAAAATAGATACTCCCTCCGTCCCTAATAACTTTGCCAAGTTTGACCGGCACGAGGATTAATAAAGTAAAAATTGTGTGGTTGAGGTTTGTACAGAAGTGAGAGAATTAACTAGAACCACAAATTCTTTACTTAAATGGGAAAGTGGCAAAGTTAATGGGACATCCAAAAATGGAAAGTTGGCAAAGTTATAAGGGACGGAGGGAGTACTATGTACTCCATATAATTTGTCAGCATTTAACGAAAAAAGGTACAAAACCAATTTTAGTAATTTTCCCGATTCTCAATAACTTCAATCAAACTTACCCTTACCACATAGTCTTGTGTCTAATCTTGTTTGATTTGACTTTGGGATTTACGTAGTAGTTTTATAAGAAATTATCCTAAATAGGATTAAAACATAGTTAAAACTCCAAAGTGGGACTATAAGGTTATTATTTCCAAAATAGGACTCCCAATTACTTTTTTACCCTTCCTATTATTAAACCCAAAATCCAAGCAGCGGAGACCCAAGAGGGCCACACCCGTGAACAAGACACAGCCCATTCACAACCTAGTGGTATCCCGATCTTTCATCACCGCCGCCATAGCCGCCGCCGCTCGTCCGTACCACAACCATAGCCACTGCCGCTCGTCGGTATTGCAGCCATAGCCACCACCAGTCTTCTCTATCTCTGCTGGCCTACGATTTTTCTCAAAACCAAGTAATTTCTCCTTCTCTCTTCTATTCTCTTCTCTCCTCTCCACTTCTCCTCTCCTCTCCTCTTTCTTTTTTCTCTTCCATTTTTGTTGGTCGTGCTCTGGTTTTTTTGTCCCATGGATGGGTTTCAAGTAGATCTGATATTGTTTTGATGAAGCACCCATGATTGGAAAAATGATTTACTTGGACTTTAGATCTAATAATGGTTCGATGAAGCACAGACATTTGGACTTGAACTTTTATTAATTTTAAAATTTGATTAATTTTTCGTTTTTAATTTTATTCACCTCAAGATGACATTTGGACTTGAAATGAAAAAATGTCACTTATATATTATTGCATCTATCAAAATGACAAAATTACTTACAAATTGAATTTGTGGAATGCCATTTTGTGACCCATTTTATAAAATAGTGTCATTTTATGCAATTCACTTTGTGAAGATGTACTTAAAATGACGTAATATGTCATTTTATAATTTCATATGAAAATGCTATGTTTAAACTGAAAATAAATATGTCATTTTATAATTGCATATGAAAATGCAAAATGACATGCTTTTGGCCTGTTTGACAAAATAGTGTCATTTTTATGCAGCTCACTTTGTGAAGATGTACTGAAAATGACATGATATGTCATTTTATAATTTCATATGAAAATGCTATGTTTAAACAAAAAATGTCATGTTTTGTCACTATTTTAATCATGCTGTCAATCTTAATGAAAATTGAATTTTTCAACATTATTACTTATTGACATTCTTCATTTTTCTTTTGCTTCTCATATTTCACAGTTTTAATTCTAAAATGTCATTTATGTTTACATAATTATGTCAGAATTCAATATAAAAATCTCATAACATATACTCTAGAGGAGGTAGTTGCAAAAGAGAAGATATCGACACTTCCAGGAGAGAATTTAGCAGCAGCGGCGATCTTGTTGGCGGCAGTGGTGGAGTCCTCATTGGGCAGTGGCGGCGGAGGCCTCCTTGGGCAGTGGCAACATCGGCTTGGCTGTGATGACTAGCAAAAAAGGGACAGGTGGTGTCGGCATAAGAGGTGCATCGATCGCAGATGTAGAGGTTTTTATTTCATTGAGGGCAAATGTGTCTAATCAGTAATAAAGAGTCCTATTTAAGAAAAAATAAACTTAATGTCCTAATTATGCACATCTACTATGTTTTAGTCCTATTTAAGTAAATCTCTCTAGTTTTATTTGATTTGATTTGGTCCGATAACTTAACCTGTTTGAGTGTTGTGTGATACGATTTATTTTAATCATTGTTTACGGATTAGATGAGACATGACTGGATCGGATTTAGATAGTTATAAAATATATAGAGACCAAACATTTACTAGACTATATCAAATCAATTCAGATCAATTAGATTAGATCATCTCAGACCTTACTAGAGATCAAAAAAAATTACTCCAATCAAAAACACATCACCACTCCTTTTTATTCATTTTCTTTCCATAATATTGACAATTAATATATATAGGGAGTATGTAATGGAAAATGTTCCCTGTCGTTTGCCCCTCTGATTTTGGTGTTTGCCCATCGAGATTAAAAAAAATACGGAGTATGTAATTAAATTAAGGGAAAAATAATTAAAATAGACCAAACTTTGAAGGGGTGTGAGATAAGCACACCAAACTTGCATATCTTATTTAAATACCCCAAACTTTATACTCCCTACGGTTTTTAATAAACTTCACACTTTCCTTTTTGGGACGGTCTAAAATAAACTTCACACTTCCTTATTTCCATTTTTGGCAAAGAAATCTACATAAAAACAGTGCCAAACAGTGTCTCAACAGTGCCAAACAGTGTCAAACAGTGCCTCAACAGTGTACTCTACAGTAAAGTCAAATTTCTTTCCTTATTTTGTGTGAAGTCAAACTGTGAAGATTAAAAAAAAACGGAGGTAGCATAAAAAGTTATTTTAGCATCATGGTCATGCATTTTTCATTCAAGAATGTTAATTTCATAATTTAAAATATTTTAGCATTAATGAAGATACAATTAACATTCTAAACTTCTATTAGGAAAAAAATAGTATTACCCCCCCCCCCCCCCAGGGCTGCACAAGAATAACTCGAACCTGTATAACTTGCCCGACCCAACCCTACCCGACCCTATTTAATCGGGTATTTGATTTTTAAAAATATTCATGGGTTAAATGTATTTGAACCCGCACCTAATGGGTAGGGTTGCAGAATTAAAATCTCAAACTCGATAGTACTCGACCCGGCCGAAGTTCATTTTACTATTATTATGCTACAACGTTTTCTTGGATAATTTCAATTTAAGACCAATATGCTCTATCTAGGACTTTATGATATTAGAATTATAATTAAACATTTATCATTTTGACTAGGTGATTATTATATATTTACGTTTCCTTACTTCCTTTACAAAACGATGTTTTAATACTATTACCTAATGGTTTTGCTTATAAAAGATACGAGTACTTGTATTTGTTTGTGTGTTTTAGAAACAAGTTAATCGAGTTTTAAATTGGTTACATTAATTTCCCACATGAAAGATGCAACCCGAAGTCATTTTTTTTCCCAATATCTGACCCTACCTGACCCGTTCATGCATGGTTTACCAACTTATTTTGTGTACCGCAGGTTGGTTAATAGCCAACCAGAACAAATCGGGTAGGCCCAAAAAATATAGCAATCCTGACCCAACCCGCCCGATGTGCAGCCCTTATCCCCCCCATATAATTGCAACGTTTTCGATTTCCTATATTAAATTATGCAATCAACACCATCAATTTGCAATTTTGAAATAAATAATACATGAGTATGGTGTTAACATAACTTTTTATAAAAAGTTTGGGGTATTTACATTTGAAAGTTTGGGGTGTTTTATCTCACTGTTCTTCAAAATTTATTTGGGGTATTTTAATTATATTTCCTTTAAATTAAATAGTATTAAATGTATACATCAAATGAAACTTAATTTATATAATAACATCATTTATATTAATTAATATACTAATCAATATATATATAAGAGGAACTTTTTAAGAGCATACAAAGCGCCACATAATCCTGCCATGTCATTATATATATTAATTATTTAGTTATTTTTATACCTTCTATTTTAATTAGCTAGATTCTATTTTAATGGCATATTAATATGGAAATAGAAATCCGTATAAATCTACCTTATACGTTTACAAATTGCATATTGCATATTGCATATCAGGATTGATATCACGATTGCATATTGCATATATTATATGTTTACTTTGCAAATAACTGACAAAAGTATATCACGATTGCATATTGCATATATTATATGTTTACAAATTCATACTTTTATTTTTAATAGAATTTTTTTAATTGGATTGATTTCAATTCCAGATTAAATCAAATCAGATCAAACTTTAATAATAATAATAATAATAATAAGTCACATAAAATGCAAAACAAACATCTACCAGACCATATTAATTCTTACCAAATCAAATCCAAAAGTTTAATTCAATTAAAAATGTCCTTATTAATGAGAAAAATATAAGATCTCACAATTAAAATTTTAAAATGTGTATTTCATACCAAGTTGAATGAGAAATACTAGAAAAGTATTTGTTAGATGTTCATAACAATTAAATTATTTTTTCAATGTAACGAAATATATAATGAGTAAAATGTAAAAAAAAACTTCATTTTTTTACATTTACGGTGTGACGAAATAATGAGTAAAATGTAACATATTATTATTAAAAGTTAAAAGTAGGTACTCAGTATTTCACATCAAGTTGAATGAGGAATAGTAGAAGGAAAAAACTTGAGGTGCATAATTAATAAAGTAATTTGGAGAACGTGAGATTATGAATTCTTTAAAATCGGGTTCATAACAATTATATTTACTTGAGATGCTTATGTAGAAGATCAATTTAATTATTTTTCATATAATCTTTTCTTGGCTTCACAAATGGAATATATTTTACATATTTTTTTCATGATTCAGGAGATTTCATCCATTCAGCCCATTCAGCCAAAATTTAATCAATTTCATTAAAATAAGTTAATTCCATTTATTTTTAGTATTATCAAACGAGCTCTATATTAGACTAAGTTTATTTTTCTTTTAAATCACATTACATATGATCCGAAACAAATCAAATTTCAAATGAGCTAAATTACATACTGCCCGTGCATCGCACGGGCTTGAAAGCTAGTATATATATATATATATATATATATATATATATATATATATATATATATATATATATATATATATATATTACGGATTAACTAATAATAATTTATAAAATAAGGATTAATAATAATTTTAAAAATAAGGAATGTCGAATGTGGTGATTTCACAAATAAAAAAAAGTGTAAACTGTATAGCACATGCATACCATGTGATAACACATATTCCGCCCACATTACTTCAATAATAGTAATGAACTAATGATTGTGCTGTGTGATTTTATGATGTTTCTTTCATTGGAAATTTGACATGCTATCGTGTGTGGAAGTTAAAAGTCAATCGTTATATTCGTAACTAATTTATTGTTATGTTAATGCATGTAATGTATTCACAAAATTTTATGAGAGGTGAATATACACTACAATTTAATCAAATATTTCACAAACAGTTGATTTATTTTGTAATTAGATATACTTTAACTTTACAACAACAACAATAACATTCAAGTCTTATTGCCAAAAGATTTTGGAGTCGGCTAACATCAATCGATTCATGCACAATTTATAAGTTTAGGGCACCACAATACAACATTCATTCCCGTTATGTCATTCTCATTTGATCTCCCGCTTATGACCTTACATTACATTTCAGACAATGTATGTAAGCAAAAGTATTGTAAAGATGAGCAAGAAGTCAAACTACTAATTACATACAATGTACTGCATTATACTCCGTATATAATAATTTTGAAATAATGAAGATAAGCTAAAATTTGAAATAGTTGACCTACTTTTCATTACTGCGGGGAAGAGCATATGCAAACACATGCTATGTTTATTTAATCATTAACCGTTTCAAATTACTTTTAATTAAATATGATAAGATGGAAAATGTGACTGTTTGAAGAGGGAATAGGCGATTAATAAAATACTACGCATGTAGTAATATAGATGAGCAAATTACGCCCCAATCTTTGGAGCAAATTGAAGGAGCAAAGCTCCTGCATTGCTAGTGAGCTGCTTAGCCAGGAGTAGCTTGCCCAACACCTTGCCTTTGAGGGACATATCCCCCACCTGATCGAACGCCCTGTCGCACAGATTCTCTTCGTCCAAAGCTGCTTTCATCCACAGTTTCACATCTTCCAAGCTTGAGGACGGTGCCGCCGAACCGCTTCCATTGAGCTGTTGCATCGTCTCTACGGAACTCCGCATCTTGCCCACGGAAGTTTCCAAGTGGGAGAAACAGTTCTGATTAATAATCACGCAATTTTTACATTATTAGTTTGTACTTCCTATGATGAACTCATGAAAGTTAACTTGGTTAATTTTTACGCCAGAGGAAGGAGTGTACTTCTAATGCATGTTTTACTTCATATTTCTTATGGTCAAAGTAGAACATGTGAATAGTGTAAAATTCAACATGTTGCACTTATATATGAATGAAGGAAATATTAATTATTAATCACTGAAATCAATTTAATTACCTTAAGGGCATCCACGACCGTTACATTGCTCACGCCAAAGAGGGATTTGACGAGCTCGAGAACGGGCTCGGTTTGATTGCGGCTGACGTCGATGGCAACCCGAGCCAGAATGCCAAGGTCTTGCTTCACGGTGCTGGCGAAGGGGGAGAGTAATAGTTAAAATATTGCTGTGTATAATAATTTTGAATTGTTCAAACTTGAGTTCCTACTTTTGTGTAGTTAGTGGTTATCGTGCCTTGTAATTAGGGAGTGAGGTTGTTGTACTTGTTGTATATATAGTTTAACATCAGTGAATACAAAGACAGTGAAAATTCATTCTCTATATGGTATCTAGAGCCACCTAATTTTTTTTTCCCCTCTCATACCCACGTTTCCATGGCTGCTTCCAGTTCCTCAATTTTGGCCCTTGCCCACACCACCACTTCCAATCTCAATTTACAGATCCCGTCTATACACATTAAACTGGACAGGGAGAATTACTCCTTATGGCGATCCACCGTCATTTCTGCTCTTGAGACCTTCGATCTTGAGGATTTCATTCTGAATCCTTCCCCACCGTCCGCAACCCACGTTGTCACTGATGATGTCGGTTTATCCACTACCGCATCCAACCCTGATTTTGCTCTCTGGAAGAAGCGTGATCGTTTTGTTCTCCTGTGGATTAAATCCACCTTATCTGAACGTGCCCTTTCCTTGGTCGTTCGTGCGACTTCCTCTCATATGGCCTGGACGGCTATTGAGAACACGTTTCAGGCTCAGACCCGGGCTCGCCGCATGTCTATGAAGGTTCAATTGCAGACTTTATCCAAAGGTTCCCTCTCTATGTTGGAATATCTTGAGCGCAAACGCTCAATTGCCGATTCTCTTGCCGAAAACCTTCATCCCATTTCTGATGAAGATCTTATGGGCCACATTCTATCCGGTTTGGATTCTTCTTATGCTGCGTTCTGCACGGCCTTCATGATGAAGTTCGATGACGTTTCTGTTGATGACCTTTTCGGTCTCCTCCTTCAAGAGGAGGCGCGCCTCGATCAGGAGCATGCTCGCCAGGCTGTGTTATCTCTCAGTCCAACCACCTCCCACCGCCTCCTCCTCCTGGCTCCTCCGCTTTTACTGTCCATCATTCGTCCAATCGGTCCACTTCTGGTCCCAACAACTCATCTCATGCTGTGGTTTCAAACCGCCCCAATGACAATCGCCGTCGTCGCCCTATGTGTCAACTATGCAGTAAGCCTGGTCACGAGGCCATTGATTGTTGGCAGCGTACCAATCAGGTTGATTTTCCTTCTCGCCGGACCAATCCCAGACCTCCATCTCGTCAAGCTCATATCACTCAGTCTGGCAGCTCTTCCACTGTGATGGATCCAGCCTGGTACTTTGATACGGGTGCCACTGATCATGTCACTCCGGATCTTCACAAGCTCTCTGTGGCTGATGACTACACTGGTGATGACAAGTTACAAGTTGGCAATGGTAACCATCTGTCTATTTCTCATGTTGGTTCATGTTCTTTGCTTAATCTCTGTTTGCCTAGTGTGTTTATTGTTCCTGAACTCACCAAAAATCTTCTTAGTGTTTCTAAATTAACCAGTGACAATAATGTTTTCATGGAATTTTGGCCTACTCATTGCTGTATTAAGGATTTTCAGGGTCGCACCATTCTTCAAGGGGATCTTAAACATGGCTTATATCGGCTGCCTCTCACCACAAATAAAACTCCTTCTACCATGGCACTCACTGGGGCACGCACCACTCTTCATGGCTGGCATCAACGCCTTGCTTGTAACACCGTCCCCAAAAAGTATTTACTTTTAAGTAAATAATGTATTGAACTCATGGAATGGTTAACGAGTATTCGAAGTTGTGAATTTTTATTAATGTTGTTGCGTGAATAGTAAATTCGCACGTGGGGCCCGCACCGGGAGCGGGGGCCGCCCGAATTTCCCGAAACCATACATTTTATTCATCTTGGTCAATATAATATTTATATAGTGGTGGATAATTTATTTGGTCCAAAGAAATGATATAGAGTTGACCGGTTGATCAAAAAGGCCAAAATACCGGTACTGGTAATTTAACAGATAAAAACCCGAAATGAATTTCGGGAACTTATAAATTAAAGTTGGGAAATGTATATTCATTATAAGGGTCATAATGATTGGAAACACATCATATATTTTATTTGACCCGATAAAATAAAATATATTTAAAACAGTCCGAAAAATACAACTTTCGGGACCGATTGTACACTTCTGGACAAAAAGGGTTGACCTCCCACATGGGTGGGGGCCAACCCACGAATTTAGACACACAAAATGAAGTGTGGGGCGGCTGAGTGAGAGGAGGAAGATGGGTAGTGGTTGGGTTGACTTGAGAGGCATCTAAAGGACAAAGGTGGGTCTCTCAACCCACACATAATTGCCTATTGAGACAAAAAGCCAACCCCAACCCCCTCTCTCCATTATTTTCGACCACACCACCCCAACCAAGAGCAAGAAGAGCTCCAGCCACCTCTCACCATTGTTGAAGGAAGCTCCAACAAGAAGGAAGCTCCAGGGAAGAGTTTAAGTTCTAAAAGTGTACGAAACTCGGGGAAAAACTAGGTAATGACTCCTTCTACCTTTCTTCTCTCTTTTTCTTGAATATATTATTATTTGAGAAATTATGAAGAACCCTAGGATTGTTCTACATGTTGATAAATGTGGAACAAGGGGTTGGAAGGTGGTTCTATGTCAAAAAATGGATTTAGAGGCCAAACCGACAAGTCCACCGGAAAATAACCTTTTAGAGGTTATGTGTATTGATTAAGGTTTTATGATGTTAAAACCTTGTTAGGAACTTGACTTAGAGTATCTTTGAGCTTCGCCGGAGTTTCGCCGGAGTTGGTCAAAGTTTGCCGGAGTTGGTCAAAGTTAGTCAAAGTTCAACCGGGAAGCGTAGAACGCGCGTAAGCTCACTTAAGGTGAGGATGACCGACTATATTGCTTATAATCTTTGGGTTAATTTCATGAGATTCTCTAAATGAATATACAATGTGATTTGCATGGATTATTAATGGTTAATAATGCCTAAATGAAATTACTATTGATTATAAGTATAGCTTGCATAATATACAAATTTATTGAATAAATTGTGTATGTCTAAATGTTATGAATATGATGGCATGATAGTAGTATCAACCATAAATCCCATTTGTGATAAGTATACTTTTATTTCATGAGAAAAAGCCATGAAGGAATAAAGGTGATATTTTGATATTGAGGCCAAATTACATATTGAATGAAGAAATTACATTGAAATGAGTAAATAACTAGTATTGAAATATTAGTTGGAATTGTAGTTGAATAATGGATGAATGGATCCTAGGAAATTGAATTGTAATGAATCGGTGATTATTGAGCTGGGCTCTAGACCGATGTAGATAACGGTGATTATTGAGCTGGGCTCTAGACCGTAGTAGTTATCGGTGATTATTGAGCTGGGCTCTAGACCGATGTAGATAACGGTGATTATTGAGCTGGGCTCTAGACCGTAGTAGTTATCGGTGATTATTGAGCTGGGCTCTAGACCGATGTAGATGACGGTGATTATTGAGCTGGGCTCTAGACCGTAGTAGGTAACGGTGATTATTGAGCTGGGCTCTAGACCGTGGTAAGTAATGACGAATTGACACTAAACGAATAAAGTTAACCATGATACAATAATACCCTAGATTGAGGGTCTTGGAAATTGAAACTTTGATTATACTTAGTATAGTTGTCATTGTACTTGTCAAATGCTTCCAAGTATTGACCTCCCCTTCACGGGGGAGGCCACCTCACAGTTTCAGGTAGGACCTGAAGGTTGCTGCCATCGCCCGCTTGTTTCGGGAAGATCAAGGAGAGAAGACGTGGTTCGTGCTTCCTCCGTTCCTGTTTTAAAAACATTTAAATTAATGCTCATGGATATTATATTTTTGAATAATTATTTGGGGGCTTGTATGCCCATGTTTGCCAAGTGTGGCATGAATACTTGTATCAAATGTTTCCGCTGCTTGAATGAATGTTTTACATTATGTTTGTTTATGGATGTACTATGTGTGAATGATATCGCAGACGCCTTGTATAGTATGGATGTGTTGGACTGTGGTTGACTATTCGTACTGTACGGCGGATTGTTGACGTGTCCGGATAGGTCCGGGGCGTGACATTGCTCATCCTCATGAGGCTGTTTTAAGGCGTCTTATCTCTTTGTTTAATCTTCCAGTTTCTTCCCATAGTTTCCCAAATATTTGTACTTCTTGTCAATTAGGAAAAAGTCGTCGTTCCCCGCTCCCTACCTCCCATATTCCCTCTACAAAACCTTTTGACTTGATGTATTCTGATGTTTGGGGACCGTCTCCCCTATATTCCATAAATGGAAATCGCTACTTTGTTTTATTTGTTGATGATTGCACTAAATTTATTTGGATTTATTTTCTGTCTCATAAATCACAGGTTTTCTCTACTTTTGTCCAATTTCGAAAAATGATAAAAACGCAATTTAATAGTAACATTAAAAGTCTCCAGTCTGACTGGGGTGGTGAATTCAGAAATGTTTCTGCCTATCTTAAACAACATGGCATTCAGCATCGCCTTTCTTGTCCCTACACTCAAGAACAGAATGGCGCTGTTGAACGGCGGAACCGTATTATTGTTGAAAAAGGCCTTACACTGTTAGCACAATCCTCCCTTCCACAGGTTTTCTGGGAACATGCCTTTAAAACTGCTACTTATCTCCACAACCGCACCATTACCCCTATTCTCAATTACCAGTCTCCTTATCAAAAGCTGTATAACAAATCCCCGGATTACGGTTTTCTGAAAACATTTGGTTGCCTTTGTTATCCCTTTTTACGGCCTTATAACGCACATAAAATTGACTTTCGGTCTCTTCCATGTGTGTTTATTGGTTATAGTGCTGCTCACAAAGGCTATCTTTGTTTTCATAAACCGTCATCTCGCATTTATGTTTCCCGTCATGTTGTTTTCAATGAAGACTGCTTTCCGTATCCCTCTATTTCTTCTTCTTCGGTATCTCCTCCCCTGCTTCCCTCATCGCCTGCTTCACCAGACCTCCTTCAAAAGGCTGCTGCCTTACCAGTGTCGTGTGCTCCAGTGGTGTCCTCTTCTTCTCTTACTGCTCCAGGTTGCCTTTCTTTTCTTTTTTATTTATTTTTGGCTGTCAACCCCTCCCTCTATATCTACACTCCTCCACTTCCCTTTCTACTTTTAGACCATTTGTAGTAGTTGCGAGGCTAAAAAGTTAAAAATGGACTCCGTTCATATGAAAACAGTGTTTAGACTCTTATTCCTTGCATCCCAGCACCGTCAATAAAATACATTCAGCATATTTTTTCACATATCAATTTAATAAAACATTAGTTAAATCATCATAAGTAATATTTTCAATTTACTTTTTTCCCTAAATAATTATGAAATAAAAAATACATATTTCAATGTAAAAATAAATAAATTTCCTTAATTTTTTTTTACGTTTTTCGGTTAACAAAAAATGAATTTAGTCCAAGAAATTTTTATTATGGAATATTCAGTTATGTGTAGAGGCTCCATGAATTAAAAATGTGTGTCTTGTGTTTTTTCAGGCTCAAGAAAATTCCAATAGTTAAAACATAAGATTTTTTTTCATTTTATATATTACATGTTTGTGTCATATGAAAGATAATAAAAATTCGTAAATTTTGATATATCTTTTGAAAAATTTGGAAAACAAATAAAAAAGTTATAAGAGTTTTAAAAAATTTGGGATTAGAATGATGCAGGGATGACATCATCCTCACATCCATACAATGCATTCTTGGTCATTTCCTTCCCTATTTCTTTCCTTTTTCTTTTTTCCACTCCTACCAACCCACCTTCTATTTCTAACACCCTCCATCCCCTCTTCCATTTTTAATACCCTATTTAGCCTACAACTACATGAAATTAGGAGTCCAAAAGTTCCATCTTTAACATTTTGGACTCCTAATACTACACCACTCCAAATGGCCTTACTCCCCCTTTTAATCCTCCACTACACACAAATAAGAGCCTAAAATCTCCATTTTTAATCTTTTAACTCCTAATCCCAAACCACTACAAATGGTCTTAGAATAGAGTGAAGTACAAAAAGAGAGACCAAACCAACACCTCCCTGTGCAGATGCATACCTCTGAAAATTACATGATTAAGAACAAAAAAAAGAACAAAATCAATGAATTTTGGGGGCTAAACCTGCCCCAAAATATCAAAAACAGTATATGAAGTAAAGATAACAAAAAAGTCTACTGTGATACTCGAATATCAGGTATTTCAAACAGCTCTGAAAAATATGCTCATTTAGGGAGCGTTTGCAATTGCTTCAACTTTAAAAAAGTAATTTTTTAAAGTGATTTTGGAAAAAGTGATTAATAGTAAAAGTTAGTAGTGTTTGAGAAAAAAGTGATTCTGAAAAAGTAAAAGGTGGTAGTGTTTGGTAAAATAAGTATTTTTTGTGTAATAGAAAAAGTGAGAAGCAGTTTAAAACACACTTCTACCTGCTTCCAACTTTTAGCTTTTAAGTGATTAATTTAAGTAGAAGATATCATTTGAAAACACTTGATGGAGTATATGGCCCAGGAACCCCCGGCCCATAGACTCCTACTTCTCCTACACAAGTCCATTGGGCCCAGAGAACAACTCAGGGCCAGATACGGCGGCCCAAGCCTCAAAATAGCCCAGATTACACGCTGGGGTGCCTTCAGCCTCCTTGGCCGAAGGCTCCAAAACTCACAGAATAGCCTGCTCTGGCGTAAGAAGCTTCTGGGAGAAAACGGCGAAAAACATGAGCCTTCGGTACTATCAAGCCCTCAGCATCAGAGGAGCCTTCGGCTGAACCTACCCTTCGGTCACACAGGGCCTTCGGCTACACAGGGGGCCTCAGTCACACGGAGCCCTCAGCTACACAAGGAGCCTTCGGCCAACTGCTCAATCATCGAAGATTCCCTTTGGAGACAAGCAACCACCGCATTTAATGCGACGTCACATCCGCCAACCGCATTCAATGCGGTGAACATGCCGCTGCAGGTGCCACCCGATTGATGTGACTCTTCGGCCGTTGGATTACTGACACGTGTACTCTCATCGCATTTATTGCTGCTATAAATAGCAGTCCATTTCTCCTTGTAAACGATCCCAGATCCACATCTCGAGTTCATTTAATAAATCGACTCTCTCTCCTCCTATTTTGCTCTGACTTCTCTCTAGTTATTTCCGCAATAACCCCTCGGATAAGACACCCCCCGGGTAGACGGTCCATCAACACTGTTTTCAACTTTTTTAAGCCAAAAACTGAAAAACACTTTTTTTAAGCAAACCCAAACACTCCTTTAGCTTGGGCTAGGAGTTGAATGGGCCTATTAAATATTCCCTGATGGGCTGAAGCACACTCAGCCAAACAATGGGCCGGCCAGTTTGTTTCACGCCATGTATGAAAAAAGGAAACCCTAGTGGAAGCAGATAGATCTATCAATTCCTTAATCGCATCCCTCCATCTTCCATTTCCGCCATCGATTAAGTAACGAAGAGCTTCCTTGGAGTCCATTTCAACTTGAAAACCTGTATAACCGGCAGATATGGTCCAGACGGTCGCAACCACCACAGCCAAGAGCTGCGCCTCTAAGCTGATTCGGCGACCAGGGGAAGGATAAGGATGTTTTCTTTTGGACTGAAATTTGCTGGTCTGGTCTGGTCTGGTCTGTTTAAGTCTGGTCTGGTCTGGTCTGGTAAACGTCTGGTCTCTGTGTATTTTATAACTACGGAAGTCTGGTCTGGTCTGGTCTGGTCTGGTCTGTTTAAGTCTGGTCTGGTCTGGTCTGGTCTGTTTAAGTCTGGTCTGGTCTGGTCTGGGACTGAAAACAGTCCAAAAGAAAACATCCTAAAGCTGCAATCATATTCCCTGTGCTGTCTCGTAAAATGGCACCTCCGGCCGCCCTATGAGGTAAAAAACATGTATCAGTATCAAGGCCGGCTAGAGGGTTTTTGAGGGCCTAGACAAGGATAAAACACCAACATTTAACATGACACACACACATACTCCCTCCGTAAGATAATTACCGTAGACTTCATAAAAAATGTAAGAGTTTTTCAGTACTGTAATGGTACTGCAATGCTACTGTAGCAGTACCACCGTTGCTTTTAGGGTGAATTTCTTTCTAGAAAGGGAATGCGACATTTATTTTGATACGCCCCGGAAAAAAAAAGTGAACATATACAATGATAAGCAAGCACTATATTAGTGTTTTTTCTAGATAAAATGTAATAATCCCTCCATCCAACCTAACAAAATTACCAACAACAAAAAGAATATGCTATCATATTCTAGAATAACAAAATTTTTTAGATGACGGTCATGTCACTAAATGTCACTTCTTTGAAATTTTTTAAAACAAGTCGCATTTTTGTCTTTCAAGTTTAATTTAGTAATATTCATGGAAAAGGCCTAGTCAGTGTACTTGCAAATTGGCAAAAAATTACCAACAACAAAAAGAATATGCTATAAGAAATACAATTATTATATAAAAATTCCAAATCAAATTAGTTAATACGGCTACATTCAAGCTAATTTTGATAAAAACATAACTATTTTGCTCGTATATTTTTATTGAAAAATTCTAAAAGTGAAGACAAATCAGTCTTTTATTAGATACACGCTGCCCCACAGTCCACCTTGACCTTATACTATTGTACCCACACATCAAGAAAAAAGAAGAGCTAACATAATACGGAGTAGCAAATAAACTACTCCTCTATATTATTTTTTTTTTTTTTTCCTTTTTTCATTATAGACAGGGAAGTCGTTAATGATCTACTCCTCTATATTATTATTAATAATAGGTTTAAATATGTTTTTAATCCTTGCAAATATAGGTCACTTTGTTTTAGGTCCTTGCAAAATATTTTCTTTGTTTTTCATCCTTGAAATTTATGTGCATTTTCTTTTTAGTCCATGACTAATGATAACAACCTCTATTTGACACCGAAACAATCCCGACTAATAGGTATACTTAAATTCTTTGTCATACCATTCAAAAAGTATTTAATTTCATTGTTAAAGGATTTTTTATTAATATTTTTTTAAAATGTGAGTAATTAGTTTTATAATTGTTTTAACTCTCTTATTAACCTCAAAAAAATTATAAACTGATAAATTTAAACACTTCTAATTGATTTATGCAACCGACAATAAAAAAACTCTAAGTAGAGTTGTTTCGTAGATAGAGATGGACTAAAACCAAAATAAAGCATATTACAGGGATGAAAAACAGAGAAAATATTTTGCAGGGACCTAAAACAAAGTGGCCTATATTTGCAGGGACTAAAACC